TTTTGAAAACTTCTTAAAACAATTACAACATAAAAAAAACAGAAGAAAATGAAATTATATATAATGATGAGTGAGCATGCCTGAAATTGTAATGAAACATAGAAGAGAAGGTCAAAATGGTTAGTGTGGAGCAATAAGAATGAATTGGTACCCACATCATCAATTACCAACTTATGCAACACCGTGATCAATGCCGTCTCAAAATGACATGCCAAAAAGCACCATCGATCTTAATCAAAATAACACCACAATATTACGTGTCCCAGTTTTTCTGTGCTTCTGGGTTATTTATTTATTTATTTATTTTTAAGGCAACGAGGTCTACATTAAAGTTGAATAAAATGATTGACATATATGAGTTATGTTTGAATTCCTGTTCAGAGTGGTCCAAATTTAGTTAAGGGGGTAAACTCAGTTTAGTAACATGTTTGGTTATCTTCAAAAGTATATTAGTACACTTATATTTTGTTTTTCATAGAAACAAGATCAAGGTTTCTTTTGCAAACTAAGTTTCCAAAATGAAAAACTAGTTAAACTTAGGTTTGCAAACCTTAACCTAACTGTCCACACTTATTTTTTGTTTGTACCAAATACAATTCCGACCGGTAAGATAGATATTAGTTTATTTAATTTGAGGCATAAAAATTACTAAAGTAGAGTTGTCTTTCTTAATAAAGTTCTCTTATACACATGATTAAGATTTTTATGTTTAGAGACTATTTTTTTTTTAGATATAAAAATTATCAAATTAAATTTTGTTTCTCTCAACAAAGTGTATAGAATCAAGTCAATATCCTTAAAAAAAAATATAATTGTCTACCCACTTTGTAGAACTTTATTGGTATACATTTTGATACATTTGTATGATATGTAATTATATACATGAAATATCAACTCATAAATTTTCAATTAATAACTGAGATATCATCTTCTAAAATAAGATAGAGTATTAAAAGCCTAATCACGCCCGGTAAACACTCTTCCTCGTATAATTTATCTACAAAGTGGTTGTCCTTTTTTGTGAGTTTCCATTTGAAAGTGGAATAAGAGTGAAAAGAAGTTGGAGCAAAGAGCAACCCTAACTGAAGTCAATATATGCTGTGCCAAGTCAACAACAACAACACTTAGTGCAGGACCATGGTTAATAAATTAGTTTGTAATATCGTATAGCATTAATATTGTTGACTTTCACTACCCTTGTTTGACTTGTTTCTTTCTTTGCACCTCAATTTCTCCTTTTGTTTCTTTATTTGATTATCGTTTTTATGGTCATCGAAATTGGTTTGGTGATATCTTCATCCTCTCTACTACGATATGAAGAAAAACATAAACCCTATCACCGTCAATTTTGTTTTATGAAGTTGAGTATTAGGAACTCAACTCACAACTAACCCCTACATTAGCAACAAGCAAAATTAGGAAATTTTTATTTTTCAAATGCATATTGTTTTATTAGATTCAAGTCGTAAAATAAAATTTAAATTTTATTTTTTCCCAAATGGATTCTGAGAATTTATTTTATTTTAGAATTATTAATTATTATTGGGTTTGATTAACATGCATATTATTATTAAAATAATCAAGTTTGGATCACCATATATTTGATACTGGAGAAAAATATTATTAATGTTGTGAAATGTGAAAGTTACAAAATCTTATAATACAATTTATTTTTGGGAAATAATAATTTTTATTTAAATTAATAGAGTGAAATTATTGAGTTATTCCACATTAAAAAAAATTAATTGTGTAATTATTGTAATCAATAAAGGATAAAAATATTTTTAAAATTATGTACGTAAAAATAATAAATTACTTTTATATACTACTATAGATAACAAATAATGAGATCCAACAAACAAATTAAAAAAAAAAAAAAAAAAAAAAAAAAAAAAAAAAAAAAAAAAAAAAAAAAAGAGGAACAGAATTAATAGAGGCTAGGCCGAGCCCAGTTGTATGAAGAACTAGCCTCCAAGTTCAGCATCGTAATGAAAACGAACTGGGCTTCTATCCAGCAGCCTAATGCATACGGGTTTGAAAGTGGAAAATGGGTTTCAAATTTTTGACCCAAGACAAAAAAACAACGATAACATCATTGGGCTTATTTTAGGGCTTTTGATAATTAGACATTTTATAATCAATGCTCCAGTCTTGAAAACATCTAGGATTTTATCTAATCACTTAACTAAAATCAAAGTATTTAAATGTATAATTTTTCCATCCATATTGTAAGGTTGGAACATTTTTAGTTGATTTCTCATGGGTTTATAGGTCTCAAAAATTTTAAGATTTGATAAAATAATTTAAGTATTATATCTTGATATATTATCTTTACTTTATATAAAATTTGGTCTATATTTTTTGGTATCAAAATAATATACAAATAATCTTTATCTATAGATCCATCTCGGTGTGTCTATCTTTGATTATATCTAGGATGATACATTTGTCTATCAATTTCGACCATGAAAGGCGAAAGGATTTGTTCATAACATCTCAATAAATCAACTTCAATGAGTTTATCTCAAATTATATTTGAGATGATATGTTTATGATGATATACTTACATACCAGTTTCAAGCCTAAAAGGTGAAAGAGTTTGTTCATAATGTCTCGGTAAACCAATCTCAATAGATCCATCTTAGATTATATTTGGGATAATATATCTAAGATGATACAATTAGTATTTTTTTTTCTTGAATATCCCAGTATTTTATTTTCAATGTCTCGAGGACTATGTTCCAAAATCCACTATATATCCATTTCACTCTACTTTTCCCTTCCTCTATAAAAACAAAAATGTTTATACTAATAAATCTATGTCTATATACTAATAATTAAAGAGATTTCTCATTTAATATTTTATTTATTTATTTATTATTTTATATTTAATAATTATATATAACTTTTAATAACAGTACAAATTATTAAGATAAATTTATTATTTTTTTCTCTTTTTGAAGGAAAGTTTGTAGTACCTTTTTTTCTTACTAGTAATGATAATGAAAATTCTTTTGAAATAAATATATACTATCTTGAGAAATGATTTTTTATACCGTGTATTTTTTTTTTAATATTAAAACATAGTTCTGTAAATAATTTTTTAAAATAAGCATATACTATTCCGAAAAGTCATTTATGAACTATATTTTAATAAAAAATAATACAGTTTTAAAAAATATCATTTTTTAATATTTTCATTTTTTTTATTCATTTAAACAAAAAGATAAATTTTTCTACTCTTTTCCCTCCTATTTTTTATCTATTTAAAATATATATATATATATATATATATTTTTGTATTTCTCTTTTATTTTTGGCATGTTTTTTTTTTCTTATTTCTTTTATCTTTATTTCACTTTTAATCTAAACAAAACAAATCACTAGTAAAACAACAATTTTAACTAAGGGGTTTATTGGTTTCGGATTTTATAGAATTTTAAAAGACTTTTTTTTTTAATAAAAAAATTTGTTGGTATTCGATCAAGATTTTATGTCACTTAAAAACAATCCAGTGTTATTCAATCTGGATTTTCAAGATTTTTTAAAAAATCTATTAAAATTTATTGGTATTTATTTGAGACTTTTTACAACTTAAAAATAATTCATTGGTATTAAAAAATATAGGGATTTTAAAGGATTGTTTTATTAGAGGGATTTTGAAGGTCTTTTTAGTGGTATCTATAAATACCAAATTCATAAAACAATCTCATCCAAACTCATCAGATTTTAGAGGATTGTTTGAAATGACTTTTCAAATGCTTCAGGAATTGCTAAGTAAGTTTTTCATTTTTTTTTCTATGCTCATGTCTTCTCCTTTTTTTCTTCTTGCTAATAATATTGTACTACTACTCATATATATTACTGTTCCCATTGAATATAGGTTAATTTTTTTTTATTTTTATTTGAACTGGAATAAGAAAGTTAACAAATTATTAAATATTTTAAAAACTTTTTTTTAAATTGAAATATTTTTATTTTTTCATGTTTATTTTTTTTTAAAGACTTTTTTGTCACAATGGGACATTATGAGTCATAACAACTTATTAGTAACCCAATTTTTTTTAATATTGAATTTTTTTATGTTAAATTTTTTTAAAAAGATGCTTGTATTTTATTTTGGTTATTAGTGAGTTGTTATGTGTTAATTTTAAGAAATCTTATTTTTTTTTTGCAAATTATAAAAATATTTTAAATGATCCACTCTTAAAATAAATACATTAAAATTATTTATTTTCTATATATATATATTTTTAAATTGAGCCGTTTGACAAGTTAGAACAACTGATAGCATCATTATTAAAGTTGTTATCGACTATAATAATTTTCACATGATTAAATTCAAGCTATTATTTAAAAAAATTAATACGTAACACTGAAGTCGTCATGACTCATATAATCTCTATAGTAAATAGCTCTAAGGGTATAAATATTTTCAGAACAATCTTATTTATGTAATTAGATTTTAAAATAGTTTCACAATGATGAATCAACCTATCTTTATTGTTAGTGAAGGACCCAAATTCTTGCACTTCTTCTTTGTAGACGACATTCATTTGTTCTCTAAGGCAAACTTATTTAGGAGATTCTGCATAATCAACATAAGCCTTGGGTGTAGTTGATCACATCTAAGTACCCAAGTGACAACATTGATCAAGTCTTAGGTTCTTTTAATGTCCTATTGTTGAAGCATGCGTATTTCAATCTTAAACAAGGTTTCATGCTCAAATTGGGTAACGGGGAAAGCAATTTTTGGCTTGACCCTTGGTTATCAAACACTTCCATCCACGGAGAGGTTCCTTTTGTCCATATAAATGACATTCATGTGAATGTGCAGGATGTTTTTTTTGCGACAATCACTGTTGATTGGATCAATTGTACACCAATCTACCACATGCCCCACGAGACAGTATCCATAATTATAAGCTCACTAGCTTCAAATATCATGGTTTGGAAGGGTGATCTATCAAGCATCTACTTAGCCTCTTTGAGTTATAAGTGGTTGCAGTAGAATGGATCACCTTTGAACAACAGTGATTCATGGTCTTGGATTTAGTAATGTCAACTTGTAGAAAATATAAAACTCATCTTAGCCAAGACACTTTGCCTAGAAGGGAGATGCTCGTACAGTGGCACATTACCACATCAACAATGTGCTCTTTGTGTGCAATAAGGGATGGGACTCCGCAACATATTTTTTTGGCACTACAACAATAGATATTGAATATAGAATTCGCTACATCTCATTGTGCCTACACTGCTTCAGTTAGGCGTCGACTGGTTAGAATGGCTAAGAGTTACAATTTGAGACAAAGGTCTTATTATTCCTATTATTTATGGCAAATTTGGAAGGGTAGAAACCTCCAAGTGTTCTAACACAGGTTTATCTATGAAATAATCTATTACCTAAACGTTGGGTGACTTGTCCACAGTCGCATGAAGGACATATTTCCATTCATGTGGATGACAGTCATCAAGGAACCTTTGGCCTAACAGGATATGGGGGTTTGCTTAGAAACTCAGCCGATGGTTGGATTATGAGTTTCTATGGAGGTTTAGGATGAGTAAATATCCTCAAGGTTATTGTACATGGGCTGCAATTAGCTTGGAATCTTCATTATAATAATGTTTTGTATATGACCGATTCACTTCATGCTTTACATTTGTTTCAGAATCTTTGTTCTCTTTTCATTTATGTGCCACCATTGAAAGAAACATCCAGAATTTTTTACACGAAGATTGGAGAGATCAGATCATTCATTCTCTACACAAAAGAAATTAATGTGCAAATTTTTTGGCAAAATTTAGCCTCCATACTAATAGTGAGTGAGTCACTTTAGAGACTTCCCTGCTGGGATATTTCTTATAATCATGGCCCATGCTACGAGATTTCTATTTCTAATATTGTAATTTTTCTTTCCTGCTTTTGTTTGATTATGTTACAAAAAAAAAGATTATAATTTTTCAATATAGACCAAATGATGCGAGTGGATCAGGTATGAGTGGTTCCACCTTTCCCAATGACCAGTCTCCGACAAGAAATTGAGGTAAACATTAAACTAACAAGAATATCTTAGTTTTTACAATTTCTCGACGACTGAGGAGTTGACTTGGTCCTTGGTGGACTAGTGTGAGGGATGTTGGTATATGAATACTGAATAGAGGAGAAGACGCTGCCAGTGCCATTCCAAACTGCACTCTTTAATTAAGTTGAAGAGAAATGGCAGATGCGATAGTGGTGTTCCTGATAGAGAAGTTGACGAGGCTGCTAGAGAAGGAAGCGAAGCTGCTGGGCGGGTTGCAGGATGAAGTGACGTGGTTGCGCGGGGAGCTAAAGTTCATGATCCTGTTCCTCAACAACTCCCAAGGGAAGCGGAAAGAGCACGACCTGGTGGCGGAAGTGGTCAGCCAAATCAGAGACGTGGCCCACGAAGCGGAAGACGTCATCGACACTTACATCGCCCACATGATCAAACAGGGAAGGAGGACCATGGTGGAAAGAGCCGTTGTCCGCTCTGTACCCAACGCGCGCATGCTTCACGACGTGGCCGTCAAGATAGGGAGAATCAAAACCACCGTCGACAAGATCTTCGACAACCAAGAGAAATACGGGATTGAAGGTGGAAGGAGAGAAAGCGTAGAAGAAGCCGAGCGCATACGCAAGCGGAGGAGGGACGTGGAGGAAGAAGAGGTTGTGGGGTTTGAGCATGATTCCAGGTTTGTAATTGACCAACTTATGGCAAAGGGTTCACGCCTTGACGTTGTTTCCATCATCGGCATGGGTGGCTTAGGAAAAACCACCCTTGCCAAGAAAGTATACTACGACTACAGGGTCAAGACTATGTTTCCTTGTCGCGCCTGGGGTTATGTCTCTAATGATTACCGACCCAGGGAGTTTTTCCTAAGCCTGCTCAAGTGTTTGTTGTCCACCTCTAGATACAATGATTTGTTCTTCAAAGCTAAAGAGACAAGTGAGGAAGAGCTGATGATAAAGGTGCGAGAATGCTTGAACAAAAGCAAGTACTTGGTAGTGGTGGATGACATTTGGCAAACCCAAGTGTGGCATGAGATTAAGGGTGCATTTCCTGATGACTGCACCGGGAGCAGAATATTGATAACTAGTCGTTTGGCTGAGGTGGCTACGGCTTCTCGCACAAGTTCAGCTTCTCCCTACACCCTTCCCTTCCTCGACAAAGAACAAAGTTGGGAGCTACTTTCCAAGAAGGTGTTCCTCGGAGAAGAGTGTCCTCCCGATTTAGAGCCTCTGGGAAAAGAGATCGCTGAAAGCTGTGATGGCTTGCCACTTGCCATCATCGTCATGGCGGGGATTCTAGCAAAAAAGAACAAGTCACCGGGGGAATGGTCTAGAATCAAGGACCGTGTGAATTGGCATCTTGGGAGGGACAACACACTGAAGGATATACTGAAACTCAGCTACGACAACTTGCCTGCAAGGTTAAAGCCCTGCTTTCTATATTTTGGCATCTACCCTGAAGACTATGTGATATCGGTTAAACAATTGACTCGGTTGTGGATATCTGAAGGCTTCTTAATACAAGAAACTTCCACAACCCCAAACGTTCCAGAGCCAGAGTATATTGCGGAAGAGTACTTGGAAGAGCTAGTGGATCGAAGCTTGGTCCAAGTAGTAAGCAGGAGCAATGACGGGGCTGTCAAAACATGTCAGATTCACGATCTTCTTCGCGACCTTTGCATCTCCGAGAGCAGGGATGACAAGTTTTTTGAGGTTAGCGGAGCGATGGATTTTCAAGCCCACAACAGTTGTCCCCGTAGGTTGTCCCTCCACGGTACACTATTTCATTTCTCTTCAACCACTACCACCCTATCTGATTCCTGCATCTCGGGCACGCGTTCCCTCTTATGCTTCGGACAAGACGTATACAAGGTTAAAGCAAGCCACTGGACTTGGCTTCTCAAGAGCTTCAAGCTCGCTCGCGTGTTGGATCTAGGACGAATGAATGTTAACTCAATACCCGGTGATTTGGGGAATCTGACTCATCTAAGGTACTTGAGAATATGCTCATATAACCTCGAAACTATTCCGGCTTCTATCTGCAGGTTGTGGAATCTAGAAACCCTGGATTTAAGGGGTTCGCCTATAAAATCCTTTCCTAGTGAATTGTGGCAACTTAAGCATCTAAGGCATCTTCTAATGTTTGGACCCGTGGGGCTCCCAGAGATGCCATCGGATCAAAGTAAAACCATGCCGAATCTCCAAACCCTCTCTACCGTGGCTCTTCATCCACGCACAGCATCCTTGTTGGATACTCGTAGATTCCCCAGGTTGACAAAACTGGGTTTACAAAGTCGTGACAAGTGCAATGCTCATATCCAGTTACAGAGTCTCCACCGCCTAAGCCATCTCCACAAGCTAAAAGTGATTGGCACTACGGATATTCCGCAAAATGCGAACGTGTTTCCGTCAAACATCACCAAGATATCCCTCACAAAGTTTGGTTTCTTCAACTCCAGTGCTTTGCATACACTAGGAAAGCTTCCCAACCTCCAGGTTCTGAAGCTGTCATCGCAGACAAACGATACTAGTTTTGACCTGCACTGTGCCACGGGAGGGTTCCTACAGCTTCAAGTGTTTGAGATGTTGACCATCAAGGTCAAAAGGTGGAGAGTAGACAGAGGTTCCATGCCACGTCTTCGACGTTTAGTCCTCACAAGCTGCAAATCCTTGACTGAACTTCCAAAAGAACTCTGGTCTATGGCTACCTTGAGGGAAGTGCAGGTTTTGTGGCCCTGTACAGAATTGGCAAAAAGCCTCCAAAAGTTGGTGGTCAAGAATGGGTGTAAGCTCCTACTCTATCCCCTCCCTCTTGGCCATTGAACACACTCTTAGGTTCTCTCCATATCTAATTCAAAATAGGGGCCATTGCCACAATTATAGAATCTAAGAGTATATAGTTATTCGTTATTCATTGTCCTCTGTGTTACATTGATAACAATGAGATGTCACTCTTCCAAATTGACTTTTTCTATCATTTACACTTTTTTAATCTATTTATCTACCAACTGATATAGATTATCATGTGTTGGCCCTACGTATATGCATGCTGAATTTGATATAAATAAATTACTTTAAGATGAATTTAAAGTTAAGCAGTGGATAACTTTTTTAGTTTAGTTTAGATATATAATACTTCGACTTTCCACTGTATTACTTATAATATACTACTAAGAAATATAATATCATAAAGTACGATATGCATGACATCACAGTTCAATTAATTTTTTTTTGTAAAATTTTCGAACAATTATTGTAACAAGGATTATATTAATGATATTTATGTTATTTAGTATCTACTTTTACATGAAGCTCATTATTGTCTAGCTCTAACATAACAGTGTATTAGTTTTTAAGTCACAGAGTAAACATAAATTATAAGATTAAACAATTTCCATAAAAGAACATAAATACCTAGCAGATGCAGGGGATGGTGGTAGTAAACATTAAAAAAAATGTGTGTATTTATTATTTGGGTATAACAGAAGAAAACAGGGAGCTCATGTTCATGAACGTCTTCCTCAACAACTCCAAGGGGAACTGGAAATGGCTTCTGAAGAGCTTCAAGCTGGATCTAGGACCAATGAATGTTAACTCGCTTCACAAGGATTTCAAGAACCTCATCCATCTAAGGTACTTGAGAATAAACTCACCCAATCTGGAAACTATTCCGGGTTCAATATGCAAGCTATGGAATCTAGAAACATTGGACTGAGCTTCCGGAAAACCTGTGGTCGTTGACCACATTACGCCAAGTCAATGTTTCGTGGCCATCTACACAATTGGCACAAAGTCTCCAAAATTTGGAGGTGAAGAATGACTGTAAGATCGTCATCCATCCTCGCAATCATACCAACAATTAGATTAACTCTGAATTCAAACACTGCTTCATTCATGTACAGACTCTATGTTGTACATTGGTTAGTTCTACCTCTATTTTTAATTTTTCTTAAATCAAAATTTTAAATATATATCTTATAGTGATTGGTTAGTACTGTCCCTGTTTCTTTATAAAAAATTATTTAAGGATGTTTTCTATAAATCAAGAAATTTAATCAGTTTTTTTTTCATAAAATAATTTTGATGTTTTTTTTAATAATATTTTGTTTCATTTTTATTTTATAATAAATGTATATTAATTATCATGTATAAATTAATTAAAAGTTAAATAAAATGTAAGAATATACTTAATAACATATTAATTAATATTATCTTAAAATTTAAAAATGATAAGTAAATAAAAATAAAATTTTACTGAAAGTCTAATAAATAATAGGAAACTGCTATGGTACTTATGAAGATTGAAGGATTTTCGTATCTCAAATTAGATAAAAAAATAAATTTTTAAAAATAAATTCAAAATAACATAAATTTTAAATTAAAAATTTGTATAAGATGAATCAATCAAAAAGATTAATTCAAAAAAAAAAATCAAAAAGTCAATTTTCATAACAAATTTTGTTTATATGTGATAGAATTAAAAAAATAAAAACAAAAATTATAATAATACTATAAAAACATTAAAATAAAAAAGAAAAATAATAAATAATATAACTGAAAAATTAATTTATACTATAAATTTAAAAAAATAACACCAAACAAAAACTAAAATGTATTAACAAAATATTAATATTAAACTATTTGATTATAATAGATGATACATTAAGATAAAAATTAAAAAAAATATATAAAAATATAATTTTTTTATAAAGATAAATTATTAAAAATATTAAATTAACATCAAAATAAAAATAAGTAATTACAATAAATAAAAAAAATTAGATGACTGTTTCGGTAACTCACAATTTAATGGGTACCATATAATTTTCCTAAATAATAAAGGTGGAAGTAGTTTTCCCTCTCCTCACACATGACACAAGCATCAATAAACAAAATCATCTTGTTGGACTTATAACAGAATAACAGAATCAAGTTCTCATTTATTCTGTTTCTTATCTTATCTTAGTTTAAATTTATTCTATTTCTTATCTTATTATATACTGAGTTTAAAATCATCTCTTGTATTCTATATAGTGAAATGTAACTCTCAGTTTTTGATATGAAAAATTCTATTCAAATTCTATCATCCTATATGGTATCAAGAGTCTGAGTTTAACAATTTTTCCGATCCCAGTGGCCTTCCATAATTCCACCAGCCCTCTAGTTGAATTCAATTTTGCATCCAATCTTTCCATCAAACTATGTGCAAACAACTATCCCACATGGTTCAAACAAATCATGCACTTGCTGAAAGCCAACAACTTGGAAGGCTATGTCACGGGCTTCATTCCATGCCCTTCGCCTAAAATTGGTACTGGCACTGATATTGCTACCAATCCAATAAATTTCTTTATGATTTTGAAAACAATGCCAATAAATTTCCTCAACTCACAAACTAAAGAATTCAAAATGAAAATTTATAATAATATTACCACGTCTTATCATAATTTTTAACAATTATTTATTTGTTTTTTCTCTAGTGACTAACGGTTAGTCACTATAAAAATGAGACAAAAATAGAATTTGCTAATGAAGCCAAAAGAGCTTCTCCTTTTAGAACCATAGAAATCGTGTAGGGTTAGGTGGTTGTTGCCATGGTGGTTGGTGCCCCATGTGCGGTTGAATGGTTGATCATAACTAACGTCATTTTAAGTGAAATTTTAATTAAAATTAACTTTATTTATAAAACTGTCTTTAAGTAAAAATTAAAATATAACTTTTATATTGATATGATATATTCAAAGAGTATATCGTCTTAAGTTTTAGCCTTTCAAACTTGAAATTGATTGTCATGCAAAGACTTTAAAGACAAAATACTACTAATATTATTTGAATGTTCTGACATGTAGTTAAATTACCTCCCGTGCATTTTCCAAATTAGAATAATATTATTATTAAATTGTCACAAATTAACTTTTGAAATATTTTTGTTGTATAAATATAAATGTAAATCAGTTTAATGTAAAGTTCCGCTTTTTTCTTCCTTTATATTCTTCTTTGCTGTGTAGTTAAAACCGACTCTTAGCTATTCGATTATAACTGTTCATTGCAACACCAGAATCAGACACATTTCAACGAGTGCACTATTCATCTTGTAATTATTCACTTCCTTATCCATATTAGGAAGCACATTTAATGCCTGCAAGACTTTCTTTGTGGACTTCAAAACAAGTGTTTAAAACTAATCAAATCTAATTGAAGCCTACTAATAAACAGACTTGAAAACAAAATTGGAAACCTATATATAAGTAAAGACAGAATAATTGCATTGGATTAGCTTTTAGATCCAAGCCAACATAAACACAAAATTATAAATACATTTTTGAAATAATATTCTGCCTAAAAACTTGTAATTATCTATATTTATTTAGCAACTTTCTTATTATACCCTAAAGTTAAGTTAATTTTATCACTTGGATGTGGAATTTTATAAAACAAATATAAAAAAATGTAAAAGAATGATTTAATTTCAATTAAATTGAATTTGATCAAAATATATTTTGAATCAAATCAATTAGATGACATCATTAAAAAAAAAAAAAGATTAGATTATCAGTTGGTTTTTATTCTTCAAATTTGAATAAATTTTATCCACAAATACCCTTGCTTCAAGACCACTAAAAGAACCAGTAGGAGACAAGAAACAAATGTATTTGTAATAATACCTTGAATGCATGCTTAGTACATGAATTGTTCATTCCTTTCTGTCATACTTGCAGAAAGTCTTTGTTTGCTGTGATTATGTAAAACTCACTGCACAAACATGGCATCCAAGCAACTCCCATCCGAACTCTTTATGTTTGGAGGCTTTCCCTTGATCAAATGAATTAAACATTTTGCCAATGAGATTTCATCTTTTCGACTTGTAAACCCCATAAATTTTATGAGTTTAAGATTTTCCAGTTCCGTACATTTAGTCCCTTTCATTGAGCATGAATTGGACCTTCCAGCTGAATAGCTTTCAGGATCAATCTGCGCATCAATTGGTGAAAAATTTATGTCAGAAGACTTAAAAACTAAAGCAGAACAAAAGGTTAAATTATTCCCCAAGGAGAAAACCTACAGTCACAAAAAGTTGCTCCAAGGAAGGGCATAATTTCAAGAAGAAGAATAAGGCATCCATGTTGTATTCATAGTTGTCAATCCACCATAACTCTCTTAATTTGTAGAATCTGAAGCTCCCAGATAGAGGAGAAATCGAAGGCCATATTAATTCCTGAAAAAGAAAACCTTTTGGTAGCATAACAGAAATTGAGACATCTTGAACATGCTTCTCATCGTCAAGTCATAAACATAAGCATTTATCTATGAGTCTATGACCAAAGGCTAAATCTGATATATTGAGATCTATGATTATCTGCTAACTATATCACAACATATTATATAGTCACAAGCATTGGCCAGGTGATAGAAATGTGCATAGAAGTACTAGGTTCAGCCCATGTTACAATTTCTCAATGTATCAACAATAATGCAGTTAAACTACGATGTCATACCTCAAAAGTCCATCTACAAAGAGTAAGAACTTCAGAGTTCTTTATTGTCAATAGGGTTGCATCAAAATCCTTGGTCTTTAAACCACTGCAGCTGAATCCTAGTCTGAAATCAAGCATGGCATCACTCAGGTTGAAATGATATTCCGGCCTAATCAAAGGGAGAGGCCCACGATACCGAAAAGACTTGAGTTTAGAAGTTTTGAGATGGAGAGACTTCAACTCCAAGCAATCCAGGATGGTTAACTTGTGAAGCTCAGAAGTGGAGTCAATACTCAAAGTTTGCAACCCTTTGCAGTGAATGATCACCAAATTCTCAAGATGATCCAAATTTGAAATGATTGAGGTAGCTACCTCACTTGTGAAAGAGCTCACTGATTTCAAATAGAGGGTTTTGACTGAGAAAGTGAAGGGAAAACATTGGTAGGTGGTTATGTTTTGTTGCTTACTTAGGTTGAACACCAACTCATAGTACCCCATTTGAAGCTCTTCCTTCCAAGGTGAGAATTCAAGCATGAGCTTATTATTATTTGCAACAGTTGCTGAGACTACACCCTCTTCAGCAAAGTGAAATTGAAGTTTTCTGGGATGCTTCAATGGATCAACCTCCTCAAAACGTGTCATGAAGCCAGCAACAACACCTATGATATCCTCTTCAGTTCCATGCCTGACAAGAACTTCATTCCATAGATCTCTCCATCTAGTGGAAAGGAGGCTGGTTTCTAGTGCTGATTCATTTGGTAGAAAAGAAACTATGCGACCCAGAATTTCATCAGGTAAATTACTCAACATGTCTTTTCCCATGGAATTTGCTGTTTCAATATGAATCATATGGTTTTTTGAGACTATGATAACAATGATATATATATAACTTTAAAATTCATGTGGATTTTTTTTTATATTTTTTATATTTTAAATAATATATAAAGCAAATCTTAGAATGATAATAACTTTTTGACTTATTTTAGAAATAATCAATATATTTAGATAATAAAAATACATGTAAGAAGAGAGTCTTTAATATAGTCGATTATGAGATATTTTTATTAATTTAAATTAATAAATAATTTTTTTATAAATAACAGAAATTATGGGTCTAATAAAAAATATATAAATATTAATGTGAATATTTTTTTTTTTTTAGAAGAGACTTTATTAACCTGATGGTTGGACAAGTCTTAACTCTAACTTAAAACACTAATTAAGTTATAGTCATTTATTATTAAGAAATATTCTTCATCAAACATAAGAATTATCTCTCTTGAAAGTTTAAGAGAAGAACATTTTTTTAATTTAAATTTTATATATCTACAAAAGACAGACATAGATCCTTAGCCGTGGGATTAATATTGGACTCTTCTTTCATTATGACGACACATGCACATGGTCAAAAGGGGGGACAACATTTGTAAATGTATTTGGGTGACTTTTTTAAATAAGTAGTAGCTTGTAAAATTGGGCAAAGTCTTGTTAAAATTAAACTCGTGATTTAAATTAGTATAATAATCTAGCTAGAGATGTTTGAACAAGTGAAGGTTTCTTAATTGTTGATTGATTTAAATTAACACAAAGCTTGTAGCTATGGATAATGGACCGACCCATCACATTTTAGTTATGTGGGCGTAGTAAAGGTACAAATGTTGAGGTCAATATAGTAACAATTTTGGTGATGGAAGGAATGGACTATGAGGCTTTCGTGCTTCTCTTGCAGTTTAGTTTCTTGTGAAATGCAATTCACATCTGCCGTTTAATGCCGTAATTGTTGCCCATCACTTCACACTTGAAAAGTGTGGATCACAATTCACAAATCATATTTTCCTTCCCTCACTCTCTTTATGATTTTTTTTAGTATTATAAAAGTTGGATAATTAAATTCTTATAAATTATATAAACTTAATCAAACAATTCAAAATCAATAATGAAAAACATAACGCTTGAGTGTGGGAAAATTGTGACTATAATGAGATCAACCTAATGAAATAAAATTATATTATTAAATTTTTCTTGTAAATTAAAAAATTTAAATATATGATATATAACAATTAATTAGGACCATAGATACTTGATGGTTTGAACTATCAACTAATTCCAACTTTGATTCTCACATTAAATGAGATTGAAAAAATATTACAAGACCATGTTGAGAATTGAATATAAATTCTCATGCATCCTATCCATATAAATCATAAAATTTGATTTAGTGATTATGTATGATTATGTATGGAGGTGGATTACTAGTTCTGCCTCCGGTTGTTCTTTTAGTTACATTAGTTGGTATTATAACCCACATTTGTGTATCTCATAATTTTTGCTTTGATTTTGAACTCTTTGTAACGGGTTGGAGTATCCCTTGTACTCCCAATAATTTAAATCTTGTTTGCTTATCAAAATATATATATATATATATATATATATATATATATAATTTCCTTTTTACACAATTAATTAAAATCGATTTTGGCTCAACAATAAATGAGATTTGAAATAAATTTTGAAAAAATCTTTTTATCTTTAAATTCAAAAGGTATATATTAAATTATTTTATTGATTTATGGCATCTTTTGATTCTTTTTTAATTTATAAAAATTAATTATTTTTAATAGACCTAAAACTTAAATTTTAACCTTATGATTAGGTTGATCTTATTAATATAATTATTATAAAAAAATCAATAAAAAAGATACTTGATTTGCTTAATAATAATGAAATAAAAGTTTTATAGTAATGTGAGAACGTGTATCATTTTCACTCATATACCACATGGACGAATAACAAACTTCGATAATTTTCATGTCAAATTTTACATAATAAAATTATAAAAAAAAAATACATGATGAGATCATATAAAAATTATATATAAACCATAAATGAATGATGTTCATCAAAATTTTAAAAATCTATAAGACAGATATGATAAAATTTTCATCTTAATGTGATAGGACGCATCCCCTTCAATGACATCACGTCCAATTGAAACTTAGGTACATCCTCTGTTCAACTCATCCAAAGCGACGTGTAACTAAATGCCTAAATTTGAAGATTCATCATTTTTGTTAAGTCAAACTGAAACATGGAGTATCGTTTGATCCATAGTATATCAATAAATTTATATATTTTAAAAAAATCTACATACAAACTAATTATTTATGACAAATGTGATAAATAAAATAAAATTATTTATGACAAATAATTATTTATGATAAATTTATTAATTTTTACAAATTTATCTTAAAAATGATAGTTTTTTTTTTGTAAAGATAGGAAAGATTACAAAGATGATCGCAATGAAGATTGAACCTAGGTCCTCATGCTTCTAACTATCATAACTCCTCCCAACCCGACCACTAAGCTAACCCTAGTGGTCCTTAAAAATGATAGTTGATGGTATACAAAAGTTTATATGACAGTTAATAATCATTAATTTAAAAAAAAATGATTAATTTTGTTAGTCAAATTTATTAATAATTTGAAATTTTTTAAAAATTAACTTATTATTTTTGAAGAGAGGAAAATATTTTTTTACCCCATTAATTTCTATATTTAAAGCAAAAGTAGATGAGTGAAATGTCCCAAAATTATGTCTACGTATCTTTTCCAATATTAATGAGAGAGAAATAATTATCTAATTATTTTTCGGTATTTTTTTTTTCCTAAAAGAACTCTTATTTAATCAAAGATATTTTAAGAAAAAGTAATGGCTTAATTGCACTTTTGGTCCTCCTAATTTAGTGTAGGAGTAATTTTGATCCTCATAATTTGAATTGTTTAATTTTGATCCATAAATTTAAATAATGGGCAATTTTAGTCCCACAAACAATTTACCATCCAAAATTTAACAGACATCAATGATGTGAATTTTAATTTTTTTTTTCGTTTTGGATCTGAGCATGGTGTAAAACTGGATCCAGAACGGCCCGTTCTCCTTGCAGCACTTGCAGAACGGCCCGTTCTAAAATGAGAACGGGCCGTTCCGTATGCAAAAATACACACATGACGAATGGATCAAAACGGGCCGTTCTTCTTGGACGTTTCAGTTTCAAAATTACGGCCCGTTCTAAAATGAGAACGGGCCGTTCCGTATGCAAAATTACACACATGACGAATGGATCAAAACGGGCCGTTCTTCTTGGACGTTCCAGTTTCAAAATTAACAGACTATGCGTGCAAGCAGAACGGCCTGTTCTGCTTGGAAAATGAGCCGTTCCAGTTACAACATTAACACACAACCTGAACTACAAACAGAAAAGAAATTAAATAATATATAATACTTATTTAGCATAAAATTCATATCATTAATGTCCGTTAAATTTTAGATGGTAAATTGTTTGTGGGACTAAAATTGCCTATTATTTAAATTTATAGACTAAAATTAAGCAATTCAAATTATGAGGACCAAAATTACTCCTACACTTAATTAGGAGGACCAAAAGTGTAATTAAGCCAAAAGTAATTATATAAGAATGAACAAATAATAAATTAAAAATTATCTCCATATAACAACGGAGATAGTACATTTAAGTTGATCTATTTAATAAAACGTGAATTATTTTAATAAAAAAAATAAGTCAAAACAATATGTAAGATTTTTAATTATAATTGTAAAATTTTATTTTAATTTTTTTTATTTATAAAACTTTTTTCAGGAAATAATTATATTTGAAATACAATTAAATAGTAAAGAGTAATGATATACATATACCAATAAATAAAATAATAGACGCAATATTTACATAATTTGATATCTCTCGTCTACATTTACAAAATTGTCCCAACAAAGCATTTACTGTTTCAAGAATATTACAAATTTTTTTGAAAATTTATAACTTACTTCAAATATGTATTAGTATTACTCTTAAAAGTTGATTATACATCAACTCAAAAGTCAAAAGATATAAGAAATGGTAAACATTTATTTCTCATTTCACAATAGTTTTTCTATTATTCATTCAAGTAACTTTTGAAACTTGTTGGTAGATTCTCCACACTCTTCTCCTAGACATGGAACCTTCAACTCCTCACAAATATCCTTTTACATAGTGGTGAGATGAAATTTCTTCTAAAAATAGATAAATGTTAATTTTTACTTATCAAACCTTTTCAAGGCTATTGAATTGAAATATGCCATTTTTTCCAAACATGATTGTGAGCTCTTCCATATGTCAAAAAATAATTCCAATAATAATTACCCATGCATTAGAAATATCCATACCAACTTAATATAAAAGTATTTGTTGTTAATTCACCCTTCCCACACTTTTCTATTCTTATGTTGTCAATCCACTCATGTATTTTGGCACATAAACTTGACAACAAAAGGAATACCAGAAGAAAATTAAAAAGGAAAAACTACTTACTCAATATAAAGTTCATATTCTTTGGTTTAACAAGTAAAGATTACATCTAGAAATTCCTTACATCAAAGAAATCTTAGTTCCTACAAAAAAAAAATTGTAGAGTACTCAGAATCCTTAACCATCTCTAAAGGAGCTGAAACCATGAATAATTTATTCACTCTTGAATATGACAAGCGCACATTAATGACTAATCTAGAAATCACTGCTTGAAAGAGGTTCATGGCCATCATCACCAATGAAGATATTATCATAGATAATTGCAGCAATTGCTGCACCAATGAATGGACCAACCCAATAGACCCAGTGATGAGTCCAAGACCAGGTAACCACAGCAGGGCCAAAGGACACAGCTGGGTTCATGGATGCACCATCAAAAGCACCACCAACTAAGATATTGGCACCCACAATGAAACCAATTGCAATTGGGGCAATAACCCCCACATTCCCTCTCTTTGGGTCTACTGCTGTGGCATAAACTGTATACACCAATCCAAATGTCATCACAATTTCAAAAACCAATGCATTCCATACAGAAACACCAGGGGATATAGAAAAGCCTGATGTTTCCTGCAATGTGCAAATTGCAAAATTAGAGTTTCATTCATGAAATGAGTGCTAAAGGTTACTATCAATTATGAGTAGCAATGTTAAAGATGAAGGAAGAATAAGAAGTAATTTACACCGACAACTCTGAGGTTTCGTGAGATTGCACACAATTTTCTTAACGTTCACAATATAATGATTTTCAAACAATTCAGGAGGTTAATGTAATGTCTAATAAGTGTCGGTGCAATGTTTTTCAAATAATTAAGAGTGACTATTGTAGGGACTAGGATAGAAAAGGTTGAGGGTGTGTGTAATATCATGAAACTTCAAAATGTCAATGTAATTTACTCGAGTTTAACTAATGGTTACCATTCCACCGGTAGCAGTCTTGAGAAGAATGCATGCAACAACTGAACCAAGCAACTGTGCAATCCAATACAAAATACTTCTCAAAAGGGTTATGTTTCCACCTAGGAAAGCACCAAATGTGACTGCAGGGTTCACATGACCACCAGAAATGTTTGCCCCAACAGAAACAGCCACAAAAAGCCCAAATGCATGAGATAGTGATGCAGCTATGAGACCACCTGGTGTTGCAGGTCCATTGTTGGTAAGTTTGCCTGCCAAAATAACCAACAAATAGTCATTTCACCAGCCTCCCAAAATTCTCACATCATAGGTCTAAACAGCATCAAAATAGAGGACACAACTATTGAAGCTCTTGCTGAAAATTTAAACTTCTGTTTAAAAGTAAACAAATATTATGTAGCTAGAATGGAAGTACGGAACTATCACATGTATGTTCCTACCACTTTGTCTTACAAAAATAGTGTATACTCTATGCATTCACAACATAAAGACTATTGACACAGTTGTTCAATTACAATTTAATGTATATGATAAATTTGTTGATTTTTACAATAATTTTTTTCAGATGATGCCTAAAAATTAAACTCGATTTAATGTGACTAAGATAAGGTTCTAAAACACATTTTTTAGTGAAATGGATACTAAGTGGAGCGCTCACTGTAAGCCATGCCAGATCCTTCCCCGGCAAAAACAAAAATGATCATGGAGAAAAATTCTGCAAAGGCTGCTCTAATTGCATCAGGTTGGCCAGCCTCTCCAGGGGATCCAATTGCAATTCTATATATTGCCATTATTAATTATGGCTAGCTAGGTCAGGAATCAGCACCTCAAGAAACAGAAGACAACCTTTCCTTTGTGTTTCTCGATTTTCTTTTCTATACAATTTGGTTAAATGTGAGAGCAAACTGCGACGGCTTTGTTTGCACTATAAAATGCAAAATTAACGGCCAAGGAAACGGTCAGTAAGAATGTGCATACAATGATGTAAAAGCATGCAACGTAGAACTAAGGAGTGAAGTCTTCATGGAGCCACTTGGCCATAGTTTTGCCACATGTGTGGCTGTGATGTGGTGCAGCTGCAGCTGAGGGAGATCATAAATGATTCTCACAAAAGGTTTTGCTTGATACGATATTTTTAGTATTAGCTAGCGAAAGTGTTGGCTAGCCTAATATTTGATTTTTTGCATGCTTGGAGTACTTCATGATATAATAACTATACAGTGTATGGAAATGGTAGGTGTTGTGTAGGTTAATTTCTGTGTCTAAGAATATAGCAAATCACTTTTATTTAGATGTACAATATATAGTAAGAATGAGCTAAATCAGCAAAAGATTAGCCACTCCACGTCTCCATCACTATAACTCATTGTCATGCATATGTAAGACCACGATATCCAAAATCAAGTTGTATACATAATATATCACCCACCTATAAAATTACACTAGGTAAGATGATTATTTTCTTCTTTTTTTATTTTCCTGACAAAAAGGTTATCCTTTCCCTTCAATTTAAGAAAAAGTTGTATATGTTAATTTTATTTAATGTTTTTAGTAACCCCCTCCAAATAAATAAATAAAACTTATATAAGAACTTTTCAAATTTTTTAATTGAGATGATATTTCTAAATTTCTTATGTCTCGATTTCTTATGGTGAAATAACCAATTTTAAGAAAGTAATATTATTATTTATGCATTAAATTCTTATAATGAGTTATACATGAGGAAAAATAGAAAGAGAAGAGAGAAATACGTGATAACATAGATGATATGATTAAAAGATATTAAAAAAATGAATGTGTAAAAATTGTTATAAAAATATGTTATAGAATAACACTATTCAATTTTGAATGCAGCAAATATAAAAAAGAAAATCATCATAGTGCCTTCTTTGCAACAATTGTTATACGGAATGGTGTATAACCTACCACATCAATTTGCCTTTAAGCACTTTGGATTCATCAGGTAAGATTTCGTTTTATATCCACATCCTACCAACTACAATATTTGTCACTACACAATAAGCAGATAGGAGAGGGAATGTGATGCACAATTAAGAATTTAGTTACTGCCAAATTCCTGCCCGAAAGTCAAGAGAGAATCCAAAGCTATTAATTTGATTTTAGACGATCTTTATGTTGCAAAATCAAATTTAGTTACAAATAAAATTAGACTAAAATGATTTAAATTTGAAATTTTTTAGTTAAACTTAGTATAAAAATCTTACTCTCCGTGCAAAAGCTAAATTTTTTTTCTTTTACTCAATCCTGTTTTAAGAACAAACTTGATTTTACCAATTTACCTAAAATATCGAAAAGGATTTGAATTAAGTGGTTGGATAATGATTAATTCGTTTAAAACTGGAGAGAGAGAGAGAGAAGATTTTTGAACCAAAGCACATTTTGGATATTAGATATCCAAGTGAGAGAAGGGATGAAAAAACATTTTAACATAAACGCATGTTTTGCACCGAACTTTGAATCTTTACAATACAAGTAAAAAGGGGTTGAAAAAAATGAATGTTATAAAGGACTAAGAATGTAGTTAAGATTCTTGACCAAATTGTATACACTTCAAAATATGCATCTATTATGTTGGGAAAAACACTCAGGATTCAAGCAGCAAAAGGAATGCCTTCCAAACTACTGCTATATATATACAGAGGTTACAATTCTTGGATCTGAACTTTCTACAATTATCACAAATTGAAGAAAAAAGAAACAAAATTACAGTTATGAATAAGTTCATCATCCACGCTTTAGGTTAGGGGGAGTGAAAAGGAAGTCCAGTAGAAAAGTCACCTCAGCAGAATTAGTGTTGATTCCACTCTCTCGAGAAACAAATAAATACCATGGACAGAAAACACCCTCAGTCACGCTGCTTGCCTCCAAAAGAATTCAACCCAAGTCCACAAACCAACCAAACTCCAAAATCCTATATTTAAATTCCTACACATCTATTTGTCCTACAGTATTCTCTTCCTATGCCTAATAATGCCAGGTTCTAATCCAAGCCCCATCGTACCGTTGCCACCCACAATTTCCACCATATATGCTTGGAAAAACCCTTCGGATGCAGAAGTCACCAGGGATTCAACTCTAAGCAGAAAATGAAATTATGCTCATGAACCAACATTAGTTGCAACTAGCAATTAGTCACGTCACATACTCCCATCCTAAGCAAGCCGATGCTGGCGCAAAGCCTTACCAAAATGAGGTTGCATCAATCGGACATATAGACCATTCTTTGCCACCAATGTATCATGCGATCCCTCCTCCACTATCCGTCCTCCATTAAGCACTACAATATTGTCCACATGCCTCATCATTGCAGCTCTATGTGCTATTAAAATGGTGGTCTTGTTTCCCATTATTAGCGTGTCTAGAGCCTCTTGCACCACTCGGCTAGATTCGGATTCAATTGATGAGCTAGCTTCATCCAACAATAAGATAGGGGCATTTTTCAACACTACCCTTGCAATTGCAATTCTCTGTTTCTGTCCTGGGGTTAAGTCAACACCTCTCATCCCAACATGAGTGTCATAACCATGAGGCAAGCTGCTAATGAAATGATGAGCATTTGCTATTCTTGCAGCCTCTTTCATCTCAGCTTCCGTGGCATTATGCCTTGCATATATAATGTTTTCCCTTATGGTTGTTGAGAAGATAATAGGTTCCTGCTG